GAAGTGCAGATGGTTAAGGGTTGGATGCAGCTCTGCATGCATGTGCTTTTGGAGCAGACTGCCCTGTATTTATATATAAACACTTTTGGACTATTTGGGCACATGGGTGACTTAATCTTTTGCATCCACTCAGTATTGAAACGTCATTCTTTGTGACTAGAATAAGATTCCTAGCACAGATGATACCAGTTAGCTGAAAAGCTAACTTGCTGACATCAGTGGTGAGCTTCCTTCTCTCAGCTTTTGTGCTTTCAGGTGCATGCAGTCTCATTTCCCCATACTGAGGCCGGGTTGGGCGTGAATTGTTGTCCAGGGTATCTCAGCAGATTTGCTCTTTCCAATCCACTCCTCCTGGCTTGCTGCATCCCCCCCTTGTGGAGTCACTCTCCCAAGATGCTGCCATGCCAGCACCCCTTGTGCCAGCCACATGTTGCCACCCTGAGGCTGAAGAACCATAACTCCAATTTCAGGTTTGCCCCTTCTGCCTTCAGTATACTTCACAGTAGAAGTTTCTTAGTTGAGTAACTTAATGCTTTTCCTTTACAACCTGTCATGAATAAAGATTTCACAGCAGGAATTGGAGGCATTAAAGGAGAAGCAGAAGAGAGAGTTTGTGTGCAGATGATGAAAGAACAGAGGGAAGCATAGTGAGTACAGTGAGGAGCCTGGCTGGAGTCCTCACCAACAGAAACTTTGTTTTTGGATGAGAGAAGAGAGAAGAAACCACTAAAGCAGTTTGTTTAGACCATGAGAGGCCGGTGATACGGCTGTAAGACAGGGTTGCCTGGCAAGGGAGTTTTTAGCTGGGGGAGAAGGTGGTCAAAACAGGCAAATGCCTGCAGTGCTAGTGTCAGGAAACACGGGCATTTTTAGAATTTCTAGTTGGAAGAACAAGAGCCTGAAATAGCAACATATCAACTGTGGAATCTGGGGAAAGAGGCAGAAATTTCCAGGTTGGTCTATAGATATCATGGGCTGTGACAGCTGCCTGATGAGATGTCTTGAGGCATGATGTTGCTTTCTCAGCGTGAGAGTTGTTGAATTCCTTTTCATGCTCTTCGTTGCCTACCCAAGCAGGAAGTGTCATTTCACAAAAGCTGACAGAGGTCACTGTTTTAATAGCTGTTGTTAATTGATGCTTCTCAAAAGCCTTCTATCAACTTGAATTTGCTACCTGCGGAGACTGGCTCAGCAGGTGGCTGAATTAAATTAAAACTTTAATTTTGTAGTTAATAAATCATGCTAGAACTGTGACTATGTTTTAAAATATAATATCCAATCAGTTTATCTGAAAGCCATTTATGTATAAGAAGAAATTATTGGCTCTGATTTAAACGGTAACAAAAAGCCCTCCCTGAAAGTTTGGAAGCACTGACAAGCACTTCCAGTGCTAGTAAGTGATGGAATGTGTGGAGAGTTTCCCCTTTTGCTGTCCAGAATACCTCGAATCACAGACTGAGCAGAATCAAGAGCTGCTCTTCATCCCATACAATGTTTTCCACTCAGCGATTCAGGAATGGTGAAGCTCCATTGCACTGCAGACACCTGTCCGGCTCTCTCTGAAATCATTTAGCAAAATGTTCTTCTTTTGAAAGATCTCCTCCAAAATTGGTTACAAACTCCTATATTTCTAATTTTTAAACAGTAATATTGAGTGGAAAAAATGAACAGCATGAAAGTGAAATACTGTGTGGGATGAATGCTATTTAAATCTTGTCTAAGCTGCTAAACATCACACTAACGTTGGATCACTGGATCTGATCCAGTAAAAATTAAAAAAATAAAAAAGCAGATAGGTCACATCACAGAACCAAGCCATCTGTCCAGTATGGAATTAAAGGCATTTTACAATGAATTACTTTTTCATATTATGGGAGGCCTAGGTGTGAATCAAAAGGTGTCTGCCTGCAAAGACAGTTCCTGAATTATTTTTATGTTGTCAACCTGATGTGTTGGCGTGCAGCATCTCATCTGGCTTGCTTAGCTAATTAGTCCGTTACAACCAGTATCTTATAACTAGCTTCAAAAGTTTTTTTCTGTTGCTTCCAGATATCATTGTTGTAATATGGACCAAAGGATTTACATGTGAGCCTGCTGCCAAGTTTTCAGAGAATGTCTCTGCTGCTTTATTCTAGCATTGTTTTACCATACATGTTCGTAACAAAGAAAGCTTTCATTTGGAGAATAACATTCAGAATTTGTTCCAGTCTTTCCTGGTGTTCTTGGAGTAGATTGGTTCATTTGACCTCTGCAGTATTAATATAGCATGTTTATACAAGAAAGTACCCTACTGCATTAAAATGGAAATAACGATTTATAGCGTTGACAGCCTTGGAGGATCTCTGATGTCAGCTCTCATCTTACTGGACAGGGTTCAGTTGCACATTCAGTTGCATGCCACTGATTGGTACTATTTATCATTTTAAAATAAAGATTTTCTGTTCAAAAGTAATTTTAAAACCTACATCAAAAACATGAATCTGTGTCATGAGGGAGAGAAGGATAAGGAAAATGGGATGGAAGAGTTGCAACAAACGTAGGAAACCCGGCTGTTTTAGGGCGAGAGGGGAATTTACTGCCATCTGATTTCACCTTGTCTGTAATTCTGAGAGTTCACTGTATTTTTTTTTCATAAGATATGCCTGAGATTTCAGCAAATCTATTTCCGTGTGCTTTTCCCTGCTCTGTTACTACTTGTGTCTGTGAATGCTCATTCCAACCAGCGTCTTTTGTAAGTAGGAGAGAACTGAGACGTGGTGATACGTTGGAAGTGCTCATAGCAGAAGTAAAATTAAACTTCTCTTCTTAAGTGCTACACATTTCTGAGAGTCTGTAAAAAGTTCTGTAACATAAATAGGAGCCGTCATATTTTTGAGCTGTAACTTGCTGGATAGAGATGTGTAAATTGTGATTGCTCTTACTTTGGCACTAAATTAATGCATTTCATTTCTGCAAAAGAAGTTCCAGACAGCAGCTTTTTCTATGACCTTCTTTGCAGACAGCCTCGGGAATGCACTGTGTCTCATCTTCATTGTATGCTCTTCAGTTTGCTCTGCAGTTGTCACCAGTTATCCTTCTACACTGCCGTGCTGCTTCTCGCTTATTGCACCGATCACAGAATCATAGAATTGCTCAGTTTGGAAAAGACCTTCAAGATCATCAAGTCCAACCTCAACCTAACCGTTATTTAGCAGGGTGTTTTACCTGACATCCTCTCAGAAGGGCATAGCCCTAGAAGAGCATTGCCGTGCATTAGGTTGGATGTCATTTTGTAGTTGAGGCCATCGTGTAGTCAGACTAACTCAGTGATTAGGTGTGAATCCTTAAAGAACCCTTCTGGTCTGATGCATCCTCAGGAAGTGCTGATGTCTGCTTTTAAATAAAGGCAAAGGGCTTGTGGATTTCCTCTGGATTCTCTTGATTGAGAAAGGAAGGAAAAGGCCACTGGTGGGCATGGACCCCATAGCTGTGCCTTGCCAAAGTAACATGGATTTCCTTTGTTTATTTTTTTCTTGGGTTGGTTTTTTTGGATTGGTTTTCTTGAGCATTACAAAATCAGTTCTAAACCCCAGTAATCGGCTTTTGGTAGAACTTCGTTTTGAGTTAACGTGAACAGATGTCTTCAGATCTCTATTTTTATATCAACTTTTGACCTAATTGCATAGCTTTATATAGTGTGGGTTTATTCCAAGGCAGTGCTGTTGAGAAGCCCAGAGCTCCCTGTTCTGCCTGACACCAATCTTTTCTGAGAGAAAAGGAAGGATCTCTTTCTCCTGCTCAGGTGGCACGTGATGGTGGTTGGCTTTGAGCATAGCTTGAAGGCATGCAGTCAAGGCAAGTTCTGCATTTAAAAATGATTGGGTCTAAGAGACAGTTGAAGAATTAATCACCTGCAACCAACCTGGATCTTTTTAAAGGATAAATGTACATAGCCACTGGGGTTTTCCAGAGAGATACAAGCAGATAAAATGCCAAAGTCCACAGTGTTGTTTCTGTGATGTCAAATTACTTGAGTTTTTCTTCCTTAATGTATGTGGGCTTTGTCTTTTGTTTTATGATGTGCAACTTTCTATTTATTTGTTTTTAAATTATCATCCCAAACTCAGAAAAGTTAAGCACTGCAATAATTTGCATTGAAACGTCCAAGGTTGTGAGGTAGTTCCTAGCCATATTCTAATGGAGAAACACAGAATTGCTTCTCACCAGCATCTCAGTCAGACATCTCCATTCACACACAAGAGATTGGGGATTCGGTAGTGTTTAAAATTAGGTGTGTACTGTTGATGTTTGATGTGTAGATTACTCGTCCTCAAGCACTCATAAGAGTCTCCTCCTTCACCACACTGAGATCTTGGTTTATGGATATTCTGTCTGCTTATTAGCAAACAGGCTGTTAATGAGTCATTCAAATGAATGGGGAAACTTTTCTGCTCAATTAGAAGTGCAGATTAAGGTTTTGACAGAGCTGTCTGGGGTGGGAGAGATTTTGCTGGGTTTTATCACTCTGTGAGTAAGCAGGACAGTTGATCTGGGTGTCCCACAGCTCTGATGGGCAAAACATCCCCGAGGAGGTTGCCTGACAAATTGTGTCCTGTGTTTTGTTGGAAACCTTCGCAGACTTTCATGTTACCTAATAAAGGATATCTGTCTCCATTTAAAAATGCTCTGCAAAAATGCTTTTCTCTTAAACAGAAACCCATATTTGCTTGTATCCCGTCTTCTGCTTTTTGAAAATGCTGTGTGTTTTTATATTTCAATATCTGTTTTGAAGTAATTAGTATGTGCAACATCCACCTGGGTGTAGCTCATGGTTTGCCTGTGTTCAAGGTCAGTCCGTTCCTTTTTATTCCCATACTTTTATTCTGTACAAGATATTCGCTATCTTGTCTGTATCAAAGATAATTAAAGTCATTCAAAGAAATCCTCTGGACATTAAAAATAAGTAATAATCTGCAAGTCTGTGACAGGGAGGTGTGTGTGACTGTTGTGTTGTTCGGCAGGTACGTCGATGACGTGATCAATCGCATTGACAGGATGTTTCCTGAGATGTCTATCCAACTCTCCCGGCCCAATGGGACCTCTGCAATGCTGCTGGTGAGTTGGGTCGTTTCGTCCTTTCAGATGGATTTCTTAAGGGACTTAATTGCTATTTCTAAAAGGCAGGCTATTAAGGATTATTTTTTTCCCAGAAACATGCTGCTCTTCGTTTGACCCAGCAGTGTAAGATCTCTTTTGCTTTTGGGCAAATAGATGATAAAAAGAACTTCACCATTAAGTGCTTTTTGTTGTTAAATAAGATTGTTGAAATACGAACGTGAGGTCAGATGCTGTGTTTTTCAGCAGTCTTGGCAATGAGTGTATCTCAGTCATGACGGTGAAGAAGAAAAAGGAGTAGGGGTAAGGAAGAGAGAAATTGTATTGGTTTCATTTGTCTAAATTTGTTCAAATTGCTCTTGGTCGAATGAATTTCTGTTTTATGATGAAGTCAAGAATTTGCCTTTGAAGTAAATGAGCAGTAAAGGCTGGATTATAGATAAACAAGTCCAATACATTCGACTTATTTCTGCCTGACCAAGCAAGATTTCATTCCAGAAGAGCCTATTGTTCACATCAGTTCTCACAGGCAGCTGTTGTGCTTAGAGAAGGAGACGAGTCTGTATAAAGTTTCGACTCCAGGACAGCAGCAGAGCAGTAGGGTCTGAGCTCTTACAGCATGGCACTGGGAAGCTGATTCTCCTGCAGCAGAGTAAAAGACTGAAGTCGAATCTTTTGACAGCTTTTAAATGAAAGTGGAAAATTCCATATCCGAGTGAAAATGTGGGACCAAATCCATCTTTTCCATCTCAGATCGTTCGTGGCACATCCTCACATAAGCTGCTACAAAAGGCTTGGTTATAGTGCATGTGTGAGTACAGTTGTTGTTTCCAAGCAAATCGTAAGAGAAATCTAGAAATCAGATATTTTGTCAAAACAGCTTTCTTGAATCAAGAATTTATGTTTTTTTAGTGTTTGTTCAATTGACTACTCTGATATTTTTAGATTCTGCCTGTATTTTTCAAAAATACTATAAATGTCTCAATAATGAGTGTAGCTGTGGTTACATTCCATTTTAATTTATCAATTCTTTAGCATCTTAATATTAACTTTCTTTGAGTAGCCTAAAATTCGCCAGGGATTAATTGAGTCAGAGGTTAAAATATACAGCTGGCTTCCACTGGCATTAAATCATTTCATCTGCAATTGTTGGATTCACCAAGTGGAACAACAAATTCCATAAAAGAACTGAATTCATCAGTGCAGTCCTAAGCTCTGTAGAAGCTTTTGCATTTGCTGTTCAGCTGACTTTATGTTTAACTGTTTCACTGTAGAAAAGAAAAAGTCTCATTTTACTTCCTTGCTTGGAAACCGTTTCCATCCTCTTGGAGTCCCTCTCTGCACCCAGTAATTGCCTTCCTATTCTGATGGCTTTTTGAGGTCAGAAAACGTGTGATACTTTTCAAGAACTGGGCACAACTGGGAAATTGTGTGAGTTATCTTGGATAAAGCTGGTTGGGAGCACGGTGCACTGGGAAAATGGTAACTGTAAAAGAAGCTTCATTTGCATTTAGTAATAACTTACCAAATAACGTTGGTCTCTAATCAAGGACAACAGCACTGCAATGAACCAATGGATTGCATATCTTCCTTGGATCAGAGATCAAAACCACTGTTTTTAAAGTGTTTTTGCGTGTGATTTTGTGATGGGTTTATCATTTTTTCTTTTAGGCAGGTTTTCCCTCTTTCCCATCTGTCTCAGTTGGTGTTGCCAATATGGCACTTTCCATCTGGCCCCGACTGCTGCAGAAGCTTTTGCTGTTTTCAGCCACAAATCATTCAGCGAAAGGTGCTGCAGGATGGGCAGTGTGAAGAGCACCTCCCCCAGAAGAAGGGGGGTTTCTGCAGAACGTGTCATTTCTCACTCTGAACTCATCCCAAGTTAGATGTGGAGCTGCTCTTCCACAGCAGTGATTTACCATAATGCCAAGGGATTCAGATAATGCTTGTTTTGTTTAAAAATATTTCATGACCGTATGCAGTTTGTCCAGAGATAATTAACCAACCATAATGTGAACCAGTTTCATTTGTGCAGTGTCTGTATCATATTTGTGAAGATCTTTACCATAGAGGTATTGTTATATTAAGATATCTTTAAATCCAGTCCTTTAGTTTTCCAGAAGCACACACATTTGTCATCAAAGGCACTGATAAGCAGATATGTATGTTAAGAATGTGCAAACTATTGGAAGGAGGTGGGGAAGGAGGATCAGGGCTGTGAGATTGTTTGAAACTTCAGAATCACTGGAAATTACCACAATGTCATCCTTGGGGGAAAAAGAGATCTAATTCAGAAAATGTCAGTCCCAAACTGATTGGTGCCCATCTTCATATTCACGTGGAAATCACGTCGTGTCCTTAGCTGTGATGTGGGGCTTTCAGGTCCTGCATGTTTCTAGAGAGGTGATTACAGCTGCTGGGCTGAGTCGCAGGGTTGGTCACCTCTGCGTGATGCTGGGCTCTCCCTCAGCACAGTACAGCTCTGCAATAAGCTGAGAACTTTAAGGAGGGTTAGGGAGGGGTGAAGAAAGTGTTCCTGCGAGCACAAATGCTGTGCATTGAAAGGTTTCTGCCTGCTGCTCCTTGGAGGGTGCTGCTTCCTCAGACAATGAGGAGATCTTTGTGTTGGAGATTTATACACAGCAATTGTACCTCATTAGTCTGGATTTATGCTGCACAGACCAAACATAAATAATTGAAGCCTTTCAGAGCTGTGTGAAATCCTCAACCGACTTTAAAAGCAGTTTACCATTTCAAGGTGCTGTTTAATCCCAATCTTCACTGGTGATTTTTCTATTAATCTTTTAATCGTGCTATGCATAAAAAAGACTAAACATAGAATTGTATCAGCTTTAATAACAGTGTTATGCAAAATTAATTTGCAGCAGCAGCAGCAGAGGGAACTGAGGCTTTCTTAAGATTTTTGTGAGATTTTGTTGGTCAACTGCCAGGAGCTGTAAAGAGAGAAACCTCATCTTGTGTTAAGGAAACACAAATTGATTTTTAATTAATGCAAAATACCTGCAGTTTTGATGGTATTAAATAGTTAGTTGTATTCCTAGATAGTCTCTACTTATTTCTAATGATGCAGCCATTGTATGGCTGTTTCAAATACCTTGTTTCTCTTACCAGCGTTAAGACTCTGTTTTTCAGCGTGAAACTTCTAATTCCTGCAACTCATTCCTTGGATGTTGTACAACACAGGAAGTATTGGTCCCATATGAACTTCTTTAGGGCCATGTACCTGGCCAGCCCTGCGCAGACACAGCAACTTCTGCTCATCTTGATCCAGGAGCCACTTGCTCTTCAAGCAGCTTTGTCTCCCCAGTGTTTATAAAGCTATGTAAGGTCACTGCTGTCCAAGTTAGAGACAGCAGGTGAATATTTTTAGAAATAATGAATAGCTTTCTGTATTTGGAGCTGTTTCTGAAGCATAGTGCTCTGTGTAACCAACTCTCCATTGGAAAAGTTGTTTCTTCCAAAGCAAAGCTCATTTCAGAAATTGCCATTTCTTGTTTTCGTGTTATCTTACAAACTTTCTGATGCTGAAGGCATTTTATGCATTTATACAGATGCTTAGAATTTTAGTGGATCTCTCCTATAAAACCATTTCTGGTTTAATTTCTGAAGCATTTTTGCACAGTTTCTGTTCTTTCTCAGTAAAATCAGACACATTTTGCGTTTCAACTTTCAAATCTTGTTCCAAGCATTTTAAACAGTCTGATTGTATGGAAGTGGGCTGTATTAATGGCAAATAGGCTAGACGTCTGTTCACTGAATCTGAACAACTTCTTATGTCTGAATATTGTTTATCAGTGTTTTATATAAAATCATGATGATTTTCTCAGAGGAAAATGGATTCCGAAATTATTTGCCCATTAAAAAGGGCTCTACTTGTTCAAGGCGCCTTACTCTTGGAAGGAGTTCTTCTTTTGAAGAAGTTTCATTTTCTACAAGGTCCAGATCCATTTTCATCCCTGTGAAGTTCCTGCTGTGCTGTAATTCAGAATAGAAAGAGACAAAATCCATTTTGCTACCCATGGCAGTGTTGGTCCAGCATCACCAGTTCGTACGTGTGGCTGGCACAGCAGCACTGTGTGTCACTTTGCTTTATTAGCAGAAAGTGCCATGGTACTAAAGGAGAGCATCACCAGCTTATCCTTAATGTGGCAAAATCATTTAAATCCTTTATCTACGTTAACTTCTTATCGTGCACTACTGCAATTAGGTTCAATTAATGAAAGTCAAATTCCAGCCCTTACATTAAAATAAGGAGGGGGAAAAAAAAAAAAAGGAAAAAATTCCTTGTAAAGAACTAATTAGTATGGTTGTTTATTTAGACTCTAATAGCTTAATTGCATCCTATCTTGCTATTTACAAATAGGCATCATTAAAGAATAATGAGCATGTGAGGGAAAGTGCAGCACTGATACAGCAGATGAGACACAGGGAAAAAAACCTAGCTGAAGGTTCTGGGGGGGCAGTTTGATTTATGTAGTGAATACAAAACCTTCTTTTCCAGTACATATAAATAGGATTTCCAGCCATTCTAGTGATTAGTAAGATAGATGTAGGAGTGGGAGGAAAGGCTTCTGGCTGGCAGTTCCAGGAGGAGCAGGTGCCTGGCCTTTTGCTGGAAATGTGTGCAGCTTGGTTGCATCTCTGCTTTGATGTTGCCTTGTTCTTTTGAAAGGTGACTAAAAACCTCATACAAACTCGTGGTCCTTTCTATACTAGCAGGGAGGTACACTGTTAACTGAAAATAACGTTGTCTTTCTTTTAGCTCTGCAATGCAGAGCATCTGCAGCTCAGATCAGCAGCAAATTCCCTGGGATGCTGAGGGGAAATCTGGAGCTTTGGGATTGTTCTGTGAAGTGTTGGAGCTTAGTGCTGTCAGCACACTTTCTCCTAATATTAAACTTTCAGATAAATCTGAAGAAAGAATGTTTGTTAATGCATTTTTAAAATCATTTCTAAAAGGTCCTTTCATTTGCTATCCGTTCCAATGAAAAGGCCAAATCAAAGGGTGTGTTGCAAGCTATTTCTTCCAGGCAGAGTTCTGGCATGGCAAATGGATTTTGATCCTTATCATTCTGCGGATTAGTTTTGGCCCTGATACTGACTCATTTGGAAAGGTATTTCTTTCTTCTCCAATTGGTGAGCTGTGCTAACTGGGAACGTTTTTAGCAGCCTTACAAGAAATTATCTGAAGCATTTTCACTGATTATTCCGTTTCCCCTCCCCCAGACTTGGCATACAGCATCTGTCATCTGCTCTTTGAGAGTTATCGTAGCGATAGACAAAATATTTTTAAAACTGGGATATTTCAAGATCTTTATTTTCTATATTTTTGTCAGAAAAGCTGCATAATATTGCAGATTTCAGTCAGCTGCCTGTCCTACCTTCGTCTGGTGCCTGCTGATTTGGGAAGCAGGGGCATTACAGAAAACTTCGCTGCCTGAATTCAGTGCACTTGAGTTAAAAGCGAGCGAGAAGCCCGTTGTTTTTACACAGACCAAAACAGAGGCTGCAGAAGTATTTAACTCGCAGCTGTTCCATTTTCAGCTCACAGAACTGTGGGGCATATTTTTTCATTCATATTAATTGAATTTTAAAGTGACCTTGTACACGTATTGATTTGAATTAAAATCTTCCACATCAAGGACAAGTTGGCATATATCCTACAGGCAAAATATTAAAAAGCCAAGTGCTGTCTTAACAGGGTATTGACAGAAGAGGTTGCAGTTTAATGGGAGAAGGTGGCTTAGAAGGGAAATTGTTGCCTTTTTCTTGCAGAGGAAAGGTATCCTTTTGGTGTCATAGAGGAGCTTCGTGCAGCTGCTCTCTGTGGCAATGCAGGGCTGCATTGTGCCCATTAAAGCAGGGAGAGCCTTGAGCTCCAGCACAGCGTCCTGTGCTCCCAGGGTTCAGAGCAGAACTCTCTGATTGTTTGTTTGGTTTTATCAGAGCCATTGGGTTTTTGTTCCGTTCCTTCAGGTGTTCTGTGGGGATGCAGCTCTGCGACCAAAGGTGTAAGTTATACTCCATACATGGGCTTCAGTTACCTGCATTCAGCAGGCATCAAAGGAAAACTGTTGGCTGAAAACATGATCTTTAAAATGTGGTTTGTGTGAACAAAAACATTCACGTTCTGAAAATGGTTATGAGTCTTGATCATTAGAGGGAAAAGTAAAAGGTCCCTCATTTCTCGTGTACAGCAGAGAATGTGCTTTATCCTTTAAAGAGCTGTGGGGCATCCTTTTGGCTCCCACGTGTAACTGCATCCTCCAGCCTGGTGATGGTTCGTTCTTTGTGCTGCCTACCTCAGTGTTTCAGCACTGTTAAGAATGATGATCTGTGAGTCCTCAGAGCTATGCTTCTGCATTTCTTGAGACTTAACTCGTGTACTGTTCCTGTTATTCCTTTTGATATCCTGCAGCAACTGTCTGAAGGTCCTGATTTCTCTTCCAACCTCTCTAAAACCTATAGGAAGAATTCTATGCCAACACAACAGCAGCTCAAAATAGGGGATTGTTCTGTTTCGATGCCAGACTGCCAATTCACTGCTAATACTGCTGTGTGAGTAGAGATTCCAACACAGCACCTCACCCAGGGAGCTCACTCAGAAGCGTGCATTAAGAGTGGCTGTACACAGCTCTCCCAGATATGGGAGATGAGGGAAGGCAGTGACCCTGCTTGTTTGGCATTCAAAATGTGGATGATGTGAGCTGCTGTCCTGTTCCAGCCTGCAAAATTTGGCCTTTCAGTTTTGCATGATGGATAATAGCTGCGATCTGGGTAACAGCGACAGCTTCTGAAAGTGAAAAGTGAATGGCTGGAAGGCTGTGAAAACGGATGACCTGTAAAAGGGCAGTGAGCTGATGCAGAAGCATTTCGAGAGGATTTGTGCAGGTCAGCCTGGTGGGGAGGTTTGGGGGCAGCAGGATGTGTATGCGAGCAAGCTGGAGTGCCAAACATGGGACTTTTCAGTTTGTTACATGTGACTACTAACTCTGAGGATTTTCAGGAACATCCCACACAGGCTTCAGAGCAACTTCATCCAAGTTTTTTTTCCTGCCTGGCAGCAGTGTGAGATATGAACGCAGGGGAAAGAAGTGAGCATCCACTGAAGTGTGTGAAGGGAATGAAAATAGAAAATATTACATATAGAGCCGTGTCTGGGAGTTTGTAGGACTGCCTTTTTGCTCTTCATTAAGAAGATTTCTGTTTTGTTTAAAATTTCCTCTTTTTCTCCTCTGAATTTTGCTGTGTATAATTGCACAGTGTGGGGTGGAGGCAGTTCTCTCAGTAGGGATGCATCCTAGAAAACCGCCGCTCTTAAATGAGGTAGAAAAGAGTAAATAAAAAAGCAATTAACTCTGAGCGTGCCAATAGCTTTTTTCAGTGTGTCTCCAATTTCTCATCTCGTTTCTAATTAATTCTGCCATTGTGACAAAGTCGTTCTTCTGATTCCAGCAGATGATCAGCATCAGAGCAGCCACATCTGGGACTGTATTTTTAACTTAGTTGTTACAGTGCTCTGCTACTTTCTTCTTTCCTTTACTTGCAGACCAACTAGGTCTTGTCACAGAGGATCCCAGTACCACCTTTAGGCCTAAATTCACAGCACCTGAGACCTTATTGGGTTGCCTGAGAATGCTGAGTGGTTCTGTACATGTTCATGAAGTCCCAGTGTAACGGGAGAAGGTGGGAATCAGAGCTATTGGTGCTGTGGGCGTAGCTCAGGCCTTCTTGCAGGCTACCCTACCTCTGCAACATTTTTTCTCTTCAAAAATCTCTTGTGGATTGCTTTTTCCTTTATGCTTTTGAAAAATCATGCCCAGCAGCCTGTCATCTTGAAGGCTGTCATTGACTTCTTTTTCCCTTCTCTTTCCCTTGATCTGTCTGTTGCTGTCAACTCATTCTTTCCTCTTGCTCTAACTCTTCTGGCCCGGAGTTGCTTTTTTCCACATCCCACACCAAAGAGTTGTCATCAGTTTCTTTTAGGATCTGTAACTGTCCTGCTGTGTAGTTCTTTAAAATGGGAAACTGGTATTTACAGCACTTTGGGTGACTGTTCTAAAAAAGCTCTGTGCTGTCACTCCATTCCTTCCCCCGTTTCCCATCCCAGCCCTCAGGCCTCCAGCACAGTCCATCGGCGTTGGCATCGCCTGTTTTCTGCTGTCTGTGTTCCAGCACTTCATCCAGTTCAGATGAACACATGCGAGAGCAATCATCATCTTCCTGCTAACATCAGCAGATAAATCCCCTCCCAAAGAAATCAGTCACTGTGCGTCTTTATTGATTTGTTGTATATTTTTCCTTTTTAATTTCTGCTAACGACTGCTGCCTCCCACCTTGTTTCAACGTGAGTAACTGGTGCTGACTAAGAGAATAAAGAGCAATTTTGTGCTTTTGTGGACGAGTGAAAACTCCATCATGTTTGTACAACAGGACAGAAAGACAAAATTCCTATTAGAGGTTTAGACAGGATTGAAGTACAAGTTCATCTTTGAATGTTAAATTGATTTTTAGATTAAAGCATCTTCATTATTGTTTTCTTTGTCGATACTGTAATTTAGGTTTATTTCTGCTGCTATATTGTGACAGACCAAGATGCTACTTTTATTCCTTGCCCTTTGCTGTTACTACAAAAGAAAATTAAACCTTTCAAAATGTAAGATTTTTTACTGTTGTAATTGCTATTGTCCCACTTTGTTTTCTTGTAAATATTTTTACCTAAAGTGTGGACCTAAAGTGTTTTACACTGAACCTATGGCATGCTTTTAAAAGCTAACATTAGAAGAGTCTGATTCTTCTTTCTAATTATTTTTGCTTACATGGACTCCCATCGGAGAATGTAGAATACATTGAAACTAATCATAATTTGCTCACTGTTTTTTGACAAGTTGTTGAGTTGTGTTGTTTATAAAATGGAGGGAGTTGCTTGGCTGTGTCGTGTCTGCACAAGGGAATTCTGTGAATTCATACATTTTTGGTTGCAAATGGATGTTTGCTCTGCACTTTATGGTCTGTCTCTTCCTCATAATGTGCACAGTGTTTTCAGATCTCCTATTTTGTTCTGTCTATAAAATATTGAAAACTGAGATTGCATCAGCTTAAGCTGTTAACATGATGGTCTTGTGAATTCAGACACCATTAGCTCTCCTTCACCTTGTTTGTCCTTTTCTTGATAGGTTACCTTAGGAAAAGTGTTAAAAGTGATAGTGGTGATGCGGAGCCTCTTCATTGACCGGACGATAGTAAAAGGATACAATGAAAACGTCTATACTGACGATGGCAAGGTAGGTTATCATGTATCCAGCAACCATCAATTTTATTTTTAGCTGATATTTAAATGTCAGAGAAAAGGCATCCCATCACAAGTATGCTGGAATCACAAAACTGTCAGAAGAATTTGTGGATGTTTTACAGGGTTTAAATTTATCATGCTTTCCTTGGATTTTTCATACCCAAATGTCTGACTTCTTTCTAAGCTCTGATGCTCTAGCTTGAATTTCTAATTTATCACCTTAGACCCCCAGTTGCCTCATTAATAGTGTCTACTGAGAAAACATTTTTTCAGTGTTGGAGCACATCAATAGCCCAAGGTTCAGTCTTCTCTTTTCTGAGAGCTTTTGGGAAATCTTGGGCTAGCTTTGTGTTCAACTTGATAAGCTCAGCCATGAGAATCACTGCTAGGTAGTCCTCAGTAATTTCCTTGTCAGTATCGGCTCGTCTTGAACAGCAGCCACTAAAGGTGAGTGTTCCCTGCTTCCACAAAGGTTTTGTTTCATCAGCCATTCACCCTGCTTGAACCCTTGCATTTCTCCTGACTCCAGATGGCCACCTGCAGCCCGAGTTCAGGACAGGAGCTGACACCTTTGGCTCAGGTTGTTCCTCCTTGGCTCAGGGTGGAGTGGTCTCTGTTACTGAGATAGCAGGACACTCCTGTGCCAGAAACAGTACTAAATGCCTCCATGTTGCACATTTTCTCTCTGGAGCTTTCTCTTCTGATTATGAAGCCTATTAAAATACAAAGTTCATTATATCAAGATGAGTACTTGGCACCCATAGGCCATGTTATAATGAGGTGAGACTTCTTTCCTTTCAGAAGTGATAACTGGGTTTCAGCACACAGCAGCACGTTGTGTACTGACCCAGGGTTCAGCAGCTCCAGTCTGAATCTCTGTTCCCCAGAAAAGGCCAGGAGCAGATCTGCCAAAGAGTGTCACGCAGCTACGTTTCCCAGATGAGAGATTCGTACTTGAAGGGTGGGGGATTGGCCTAGGGAAGAGTAAAATAAAAACTCACTGATGTTTTTATTTGTGTTGCTCATATCTATGGGTTTAAACACCACTTTGCAGCAGAAGCACCCCACTCCCAGTATATCAGCATACAAATGCAGACTAAAGCATCAGCCCCTCTTCACCTTGAGCTCTGCTGGGAAGTGAAAGAATAGCCTAAAAAGCACTGACACCACTTGTTGGTTTCCCATGTCACATTTCATGTGGGTTTGCTCATTTTCTCCAATGAATCCAGTTTTCTTTGAGGCTCCCTTGAAATATAATTATGCTGTATGTGCCGAAAAGATGGGTAAAAGTTCCTTGCAAAACTCAGCATCTGGTGTGCAGCTTCTGTCTCGCTCCAGGTTAGCTCTCAGGAGAGCTGTGTTCCTCCACTGTTGTCATCTGAGAGCAGTTCTCACCACGGCTGGCTTTGGGCACGGGGCACTAACCTTTGTCTGTGTCCATAGGGAGCAGTTACCTCCTCCTAAGCAGCACTGCTAACACCTGCTTTGCCTTCTTGCTTCAAGCAGTCTGCAGGGGAGGCTGTTCTCTACCAACTTTCATTTCAGCATTCTAAGCGGGGCGATGCGACGGCTCCCACGAGGCTGGATGAACCCGTGTCTGTACCATGGCAGTTGCTATTCCATTGGGCCATCTCAAGGCTGGAGCAAAGCTGTAGGTCTGCATTTCAGGTATAAATAGGAACATCTCATCTGACTTTGGTAGAACTGGAGTTGCAGCCTCTTAAATCATGAGTAAATTTGGCTTGGAAGATTGAATATATGCGTAGCTTGCTAGTTTTGCCAACTGGAGCACATATTGACAAACAGTGGGCTCCCTTTTTTTCCACTAATTAACTACACTGGTAATTGGAGTATAAGAATAAGATAGTGCTCTTGCAATGATTCGCTTTACTTTATTGTGCCTGCTGGGAATGAGTGATTACAGTCAATTGCAAACATAGTCCATTCCAATTCCTTCTGTGTCACAACAGCTGCTATAGGGAAAGTGCTCCACTGTTCTAGCTTCTCAGTTTCCAGCCTGGTGCTGGGAAGGAAGCAGTAGTGCTCAGAGACTCAGAAAGGTATGAAGGAGATCAGTGAGCATCCTGTTTGTTAGATAATAAAAATGCGGAGAAGCTTTGGAGTTGCTGTAGGGAGTGATTGCTTTTCCCACGAGCAGTTTGCACAGTGATTGCTGATTTGGGGGTTTGCTTATTTGTAGGGATCATTTAATATTTGTAAACAGCAAGGATGAGATTAACTAAAAAGGTATCCTACAGTATGGCAGTTCTGAAGCTCCTCTTTTTTCTGTAAGTCATGCTGAAGAAGGGGTGCTGGAATAAGTCACAGCATCCTTGCACTTTTCTACGTGCAAATAGCTGAGTGGTGGTCTTCTGAGCAAGCCTCCTAAGCCTATATATCAGAAGGTCCTTTAAAAGTGAGATTCTCTGGGGGGATTTCTCTGAACGGCGAGGTTTGGGGCAGTGCAGTGTATTCAGCACTATCCAACAAAAGAAGAAATGGCCATCATTGGGAAACTGAAGGACGGCACAGGCAGAAAGTGGAACGTGCCTTGTGAGGCACGGAAGGGGAAAGCACAACTGGTTTAGTAAATTTTGCATTTGTGGGGAGAGGAGAGAGAGCAAACAGGAGAGGTACTGGTGTCATCTGGTGCATTAGGCAGGCAGGTCTAGAAGTAAAACAAACATGGGTGGCTCTCAGAGCTGTGGAGCTGTGCGTGGCAGCATGCTGAGGCACTGCCAGCAGGTACACAGGAGAGCTGACGTTGCATTATGCGGGTTGCTGTGCACTTAGACGTTGCACTGTCTGCACTGACAGGAGCTTATGCGAAAGCTTCCCGTGGTTTCTGCTGTACTGAAGTCTAGTTAAATTGGTTGCTCTCTCTTACAGACTTAAATACTTTCAAAGTGAAGGTGAAAAAATGAAAAGTAGTGTTAAGCTTTCCATGGGTAAAATAGGATACTGCACTTTGGCGTTTTATTTTCAAGCTTTGCTTATATAGACAAAGCATCAGTGTGTTTCTTAAGTGCTTCGTGTACTTCTCTCGTGAATTATTCACAAACCCTGCAGAATGTGTCTTTGCCAGGTTGCCAGCTGCATAACTTAGACATTTTTGGTGACACTTTGCAAAAACAATAGGTGAGCTGTGGCAGCGCTGTCATGCAGCCGGCTCTGTGTGCTGACTGCTCTGCCTCTCTCCTGCTTACTGTACCAGCCATTACGTCCACCCCATACTGATGTGTTTTAATTAGCCCTGTAGCTTCAGCTATGGCACCATGCCACCTTCGATTTCAAACTTTGACATACTCATTGTGCACTGGAATTTAACCACGATAGTAATTAATTACTAATGTTGTCCCGATTCCTGAATAAATGAAGCTGTGCAGCTCGCTCTTGCAGGGCAGGCTGATCATCAGCTGAACCATTAGTTAACCTAGTCTGCCAATAAAAATAGAGATGCATTGGGATTCTGCTGGCGTGGTGGGCAGCACCCTGCTTCTCTTTGGACTCGGGTACCACGGAGCAGCATGGCAGGGCGCATTTGGAGTGGGCACTTAACATCCCTGCCTAGCCAAACTCTGATTTCTGCATCCGTTTGACTTAACTAAAGAAACATAAGTGTCTCTATTGAATTATCATGTTAAGGAACTGGGGTTATGTTAATGCTGTGGCTTCATTAATTACCCCATATCAATAAGCGAAGGCAGCTTTTAGCCTCCTAGCGTAAGAGAGGAAAAGAAATAGTAGTATCAAAGGAAAGCTTCAAAGACAGCCCGCGCTGTCTCTCGGGTAATTTCTGATCCCCGTATTCTTTCCACTTCAAAGCTGGGTGTGTGTGTGTTTGGGTGAAGGGGGGTTGAATCCGATTTCTCTAATAAGTGTTGGCACCGGACCTGTTTGATATTAGATGCAGGGAACATTCTGATTTGTTATCGCCTTTGAAATCGTTCAGATGACCTTCAGAAAATGGCCTCTCGTTACTTATGCTGGGGGTGGGTGGGGAGAACGGGGCGCTGGGAAAAAAAGCCCCAGTTTAATTCACATGCAGAGGATGCCCTGGAATTGTGCTTTCAGCAGTTTTTTAGTTACAAATGTGTGTCTTGATTGAAAGTGAAAAGTTGAAGAATAATAGACCTGTAACGATGCATTCTTTAATCCGCCTCTGCCTTCATCCTCTGGCTGGGGGAAAGGTGGTCAGTCATGTAGGATTTCTGCGTGTGCTTTGGGGAGGGGCTGGTAGCTTTTTTTTTTTTCCTTTTTTTTCTTTTTCAGCTCAGCTAACATCACACCTAGGAGACTTTCATTACTTTTTCAGCTTTCCACTCTCCTTGTCAACTAATGAACATTTCAGAACCTGTTGGACTCATCTTAATGCTTAATGCAGCATCTGAAGTGGAGTTTTTTCTTTAATTTTTTTTTTTATATCTCAAATCTACCTAGAGAGGATCACACACTGCGTGTGATCACTGGAGATTAGCAAAACCATGTATATATTCCAATTATAGCAACTCTGCTTTTGAAGCAAGCCCAAACTTAAACAAAAACAGCTTAAAAAAATGTGTATTAATATTCTATTTTTAAGTGTAGACTTTTCTAATATGGAAATGTGATGCTTCCTTCCCTACAGGCGCAGGTGCACTGCGCAGAGAATCATGCATGGCTCCAAGTCCCAGCTGGGCTGCTGCTCGTAGGAGCAGTGTCGGTGTTCAGGTTCTTGAACCTGCCTTAAGAGCCATCAGTGTAAAGATTGGAAGGTAACACGCCTTAGGGTACTTCTGCCTTCGGCTGACCTGGAAAAGGCATCGAGGCATCAGCTGCCTTCTGTCTCACGGCAAGGTCAGCACTGCTAAGCCATGACACGTCCATTCAGAAGTGATGCTAAAGTCTTTAACATCACCCGTCGGGCTGAGGTTTGGAAAACTCAGGAGTCACTTCTGTGCCATTGTTCTGAAGGCAGGCACATAACAGCTTTAGTCTTAAAGGCATAGGGACTGGTAGCTTTCCCAGCCATTTAACCTATGTGCATTAATTACTGGGGTTCAGTGGTCTTCCCCCTCCTGTGTGTTTTATGCACATGCTGGGACTTCTTCCATTCCAGGCTCTAACCCTTGTACCTTTCAGAAGGCTTGTCGTTCCAGCTGCAGCTTGTGAGCACTGCTGCAAGTCAGGTTGAGATAACTGGCTGTGCTTTATAATAAAGGAGGTGAACCCAGCACGGAGTTGCTTCCTTTAAATCCATTTCTCTTAAGGTGTAAACTTGGCAGACTGTGTTTGGTACCACACTGTTTATTCTCAGGATTGTACATTTAGCTTGAGATCTCTTATTTGCATTTTTAGCATCATTTGCCATATTTTAATAAAACAGGTGTATTATACAATTGATAGAACAACTAAATAATGCAATGCAAGTTTTACGTGTGCATTTGAACGCATTTCTCCAAGAAAGCCAGAGCCACTGTATGTGTCTATTTCTCCACGATTAAAGGTGAATTTGCAAGTGAGGACATGCCAGGGGATTTTGTGCACTTTGGAAGAAACCTGGCACTAATGAGTGAAGCTGATGGCTTTTCTTATCCTGGTGCTTGAGTATAGTGGGATTTGTAAGACAAAAGTGATTTGCAAGTCAGGGGTTGAAGGAAATTCTGCTTTTCTTTTTTTCTTTTTCTTCCCTGCTGCTTTTCTGTGACAGAGTACAAGCTATTCCACAGGGCTGGGCTAAAGAGCACTGGCACATCGCTTCGAACTGTCCGACGTGCGAGCCACTTGGTTGTTTAACAAGGGCAGCATTACCTTCTGCTTTCTGGGGTTACCAACATTTATTTCCTATCTGGCTGAGCACACACTTATGTCATGGATGTGTGCAGTTATCTACAGCCGGTGTGATTTTGTCTACGGATGTAAATGCAGTTTCCTAAGGGATGCTTTATTTAGTCCCAGAAGAGCAGTGCTTTGGCTTAATTCAGCTAAATGTGTTTTGTGTCATTGTAACTGAATCGCTTATTCAGACACAAGATGAGCATCAACTCAGTAAGAATGCCCTCATTTAAGGAGCAGACCAAAGCTGATGAATATTTGTGCAGATCAGCCGCAGCCTCAGACAGATGAGCATTTTTTAAAGGGAACACATTAATTCAACAGATCTCACATTTATATTTTTATTGAAACTGTAATGAACTGTGTTCCTTTTTCACTGCAAAACAAATTAACTCTGATATCATTATTTCCCTTTCTTAAATTGCAGCAGATGTGGTTGATGGGTCAAAGTAGTGAACTGAGAACTGAAGCTCCGTCGCTCCCTTTGCCTGTGCTTTGAGTTGAACAGCTGCTTCCATTCTTTTTCGTGGTAATTACATGTAGTAATCCATAACTTTGTTTTTCCTATTGCAGCTTGACATATGGTCCAAATCCAACTATCAGGTGTTTCAGAAGGTAAGTCCCACATCGTTTCTCTCTACGTAACTCACGTGAGTTACAGGTAGGGTTGGTTTTAAATAAAAATTCATATTTTATTCCTTTGTCATCTGTTATAAATCCCTTACCATTTATATCCCATCACAACTTCAGTCAGTGGTTTGGAATGGGAAGTTGGAGGTTTTACTGCCGTGGACTTAAAATTTCACAAGGAATTTTGAGGTACTCTCTGGTTTGGTTTAAATTTTTGGAGGGAAGGAGGGAATTTATTTTGGATTTTATTGTGTTGGATTCATTCTTTTTGGTTGCCTCCCTGCTCTGGAAACTCGATATCTTGGTATTCTGCTATCTTCCATGCAGGAGAACATTCATCTTCGAAGGCCTCTTGTAAAAATGCTGCAAGTTCAGGTTGTTCTGGGGTTAAATTCTTCTTCCTTATCTTCAAGCCACAGTTCAAGGAGCCCGAGTCTCCAGCTAGCACACTGGCTGCCTTTCATCTGTTTCTGTAGTTTCTGTAACAAATACGGGGCAGGGACTCTAAAGGGCATAAAAGCAGAGGTCAGAGTGTGGCATATTGACTCTATTTGTGCATCTTTCTTCCAAGACTTCAGATGCAGACAGAAGCAAAGATGTTTGACCTGTGGTATTAGCCTGCTGGAGATCAAAGGACAGCTTTTGGGGAGGCTCTCCTCCCTTTGGTTGCTCTCCTCTCTGCCTAGCATTAAAGCAAAATGTTGCTGTAGTCAGTTCTTTACTCCAGAGATTAGTGGATTAAATATTCTTTCTTTATTTTTTCTTACTCCTCAAAAATATTTTGTGTCAAGTAGGGTAATCCAGCGGGAAGTAAAACAGCATCAATCTTAGTAAATAGTTTATCAGTACACTTTTAAGTAATTTTTGCAATGGAATAAATTTAACTTTCTGTAATTAAGTGCATCATCTCAGTTTCCCCATGTGTGTTTTAGACTGTAGTCTCATTTGGGCATAAGGTTGTCTTCCTGGCTTTTTTTCTTTAGAGTAACTTGGAACACTTAAGTTGTATTGCAAACGTTTGTGCTAAATGATGCTGAATCTTGAGTTTGGATTATGTAACTTTCTCTACGTGAAAGATAAGTGCACAGTAAGTTGACAGTTTGCTTAGGAGTCCAAGTTAAGGAGTTGGTGAGTAAGTCCATAAAGCAAATTTCAGGTTCAGGTGAGAGCCTTCAGATAGAAGGGAGAGACTCAGTGGGAAGCTGTGAAATACCCTTCTGACGGCTGCCTGTGTGACAGCATTTTGGGTGCATAAGAATCTTTATTTTCTAGTTGATAATGATTTCGCTAGAATGCCTTGGATGATAATTCCAAAATGAAGAGAGAAGATGCATTTGTATCATTGTCTGTCTGTGGGCACGTCTGTCTGTGCATGAAATAAGTGGCTGATCTCTTCCTCAGTCCTCTAAAATGACGCCATCTGACCTGACTGTGAAGTTCCTGTTCTCCAGTTCTCTCTCAACAAATAACACCAAGTGCAAAAATATGCACCAAAAAAAGGAAAGCCTTACAGGAGTAAGGGTTGCCTTGAACCAGTGCAACAGCTCTGTCCTTGTATAGATCATTCCCTGCTCTGTCATTGCCTTACCTTGAGCAGCCTGTCTTTGGATCAGTTCTCAGCGTCCCTTCAGCTGGGGGGAATACTTGCTGACTTCACAGGAGCTATTGCTGGGTTGGTCGTAGAGAGCACTGAGACTCCTATGTGTAAAGTCTGTCAGAACGCAAGGTGATGGTGCTTTCTAATCAATAGATTCTGCACAGTTGAGCTGGTAGTTAAATAAGCTAAAGCTGAGGCTGAAGTCAGGTTTTCAAACAGATGTCAGAAAACGCTGTAGTTCAGCACAGTAAGTTTTCTCTCGGTGCTGCCGTGTTTGGTTTTGTCTTTATTCTCTGAAACTGTGCTTGTATACATTTAGACATCCTGGAATAGCTGCTCAGCTGTGGCAAAACAGAGGAAGTAGTTAAAATAATTTGAGGGAAACTATTACGTTCTGTTAGCATTGCAGTACTGCAAGGCCTTAGCAAAAAATGTTTTAATGTGACTGAAGGATCACCGGTAATAAGGTCAGAGAGTATTTCTGAATCTTCCTGGAATGTTTTCCTCATGGCAATCAGCAGAACCATGACACAGGAGTGCTGTATGAGAAGGAAAAGTACGGATGAGTAACCGAGGAGCCCAGGCACCCCTTCAGCCCTGCTGCCTTGAATGCTCTGAAGTCACCCATCACTGAAAGGCAGGGACATTTCTTTTTAAAAGCCACACCATGTTCTCAAACTTTGCTTTCAGAGATAATACAGCAGCATCTGGAGCTCACAGGATACCTGTCTGTGGTAGCTGCAAGCCTGTCAAAATCTCACAGGGCTGCAGGATGACTTTCCAGGTTAAGGACCGGAGACCTCTGATCTTCAATCCAACCCTGTCAAGTGATGCTAAATTTGTCCTGACTTTTGTTTGCAAGTGCTGGCTGTGTCAGCATGCCTTTTCTCTCTCTCCTTAATAGGCAGGATACCTGGGTGTGTATCATTTGATGGGGGACAGCTCCCAGAGGGCCCATTACTGTTAAAGCGTCCGGTCATATTGTGAGTTCCCCAGAGCCTTCTGCTGTCTGGTCCTGGGGTGAGTAAGCTTTGCGGCTATTGAATCCACCAGGAGGGTTAGGTTCAGAGAATGGAGCTGGAAAATGGGAGGATGAAAGGGCAGAAGCTCAAGGAGCACTGAAAAGGTTTGCAGCCTTCCATATTAGTCTGACATTTAAACTCGGCAGGAGTGGCAACTGTTCTGATCTCAAACCTCCTCATTTTAACACCTCCTGTGTCTTTGTCTGCTAGCACAAGAGTAGGAACAAAACGGGAAATCAGGAACTATTCTGGTGCTTAAATCTTAGGAAGAAGCATGTACAATTCCAGATCATTGAGAATTAAACAGGTATATATACACACATAGATTGTGGAGAATGGTGTAATATTTGTAACTTTGCATTCAGAAAAAGAGATGTGTAGTGCAGCAGAACTGATCTGAATGGATCAGAACTGTGCTATGGGGAGACGGTGTTGGATGTTAACTGTTTCATTTGCCAGCTGCTCGGTGAGCTGCTATGTGATGCGCTCATCTGGGCTGGTTGAGTCACACGTAGGCTGTAAGCTCGTTTATTTCTGTCTGATCCCAATCTCTTATTTACACCTACATGGTCTCCATTTCAGCATGCCACAAAGCGCTCTCCTTTTTGGTTTGATCACTTCTCCCAAGTCACATTTTAATCTAGACTTTGAGAAGCTATTGGTGCCTGTCCAGCTGCTGCGAGGTGCGTGATCCCCCAGTGGAACTCAGAGCACAATCTTCTCCACTCCAAGGGCATATAAGTATTGTAATGTATGAAGATGTATTCTTGTCAATAATCTCGGAATAAAATCACGTGTAAAATGAATGCATGCATGAGACAGCTATCGGGCTATTGATGCTGTCTGCTCAAGGAGAGGGGATGGACTGTTCCAGGTCACCTGCATCATTGCTCCTCTGCACGATCAGCGTGTGGCTGTCTTTGGGGACCTGCTTAGGTGGAATAAAACCTGTGACCCACTCCGAATGAGCAGAACAAGCAAAATAAACACGTAAATGCTGAGCTTTGAAAACGACGAAGAAATCCTGTGCTCCACAGATGTATGGCAGCGTTTTACTGAGCAGGGCGTGGGGAAAGGAGTGTGAAGGATTTCCATGGCATTATCAGCTCTTGTTTGCCAAGGTGCCATCTATCATCCTCCCCGAGCCACCTGCTGATTCCCTCCAGGGAGACTCCAGTGCGTACCTGCAGTGCAGATTGAGTAATGGGAATCCTTGGAAATGAGCAGAGGCACTTGTGCAGTTTTCCATGGTAGAAGAGGTCTAACCACTAATAACACTGTAACTTCTTTTTTTCTTTCCGTGCTCTGATTATCCTTTAGAACTCATTGCCATAGGCTGCTGTTAAGGCCGTGAACTTAGAGGGGTTTACAAAAAAAAAATTAAAAAACTTTCTGGGGATTTGGAGAATCCCTTTATATTAGATTAGTTTTCAGTGCTGCACTCATGGGAATAAACCAATAAGTAAGTTGCAAGGAAAGTTATGACTCTTAAGGGAAGTTTTTTACCTATTCTTGAAGAGCACGTCCAATAGCAATGAGAAAATATTAGAGTAGAGAGACAGCTTCTATGATTCAGTCAAGAGAAATGTTTTTACTTTTCTGTTTTGTGTTTGTGCCAGATACAGCTTCATGCCTGTATGGAACCTCATCTGTGGAGGAGAGCTGTGCCTCAGGTCCCTGGTTGTGCGCTTCATACAGCCATTAGAGGAAGCACTTGTTCAGCATGCCCAGCCTTTGAGCTGTGGGATTCTTTTTTGAATGAATTTTCAGCACTGTATGTATGACTAATGGTGTTACTGGGGGCCAGCAGGGCCGTTTTGCAGAATCTCAGCGAAGCAGTGCTGTTGGGTGGCTGGAGCAGTGCTGTAGCAGTGCTGTAGCAGTGCTGTAGCAATGCCTGGTGTTGGCTCAGAAGAGACAAATCCCAGGGGCTGTGCTTGCTGCTCCCAGCTTAGCACTGCGCTCAGGACCTTTTATGCACGTGAGGAGAAGCACGCAGTGTTTGGGGACATCTGGCATCACTGCCTCCCCACACACAGCTCGGAGCCCCTGGCAGCAGCAGGGACACATTGCCCCACTGCCCTGCTGGGGCCGGGCTGCTGTGCAGGGGGGCTGAGGATGCAAGGTTTAATTTGCACAGCAAAGTAGTGAACATTAGGTCTGACCCAGGATCGGTCCGTTTCATATTCCCCGTGCATCTGGGGCTCGAGGAGCAGAGATGCATTTCAGCAGTACACATTTCTAACCAGCTTGGAAACAAAAAAATGAGAAAAAAAATCTCTCAGGCAATACAATTAACTGTTAAGAAGGAGAGTTCTCTTATTCACATTGAAAACAAGACTGGACCTCAGCAAAGCAGAATTCCATGCAGCCCAGGACAGCTTAGGGTTGTTTAAAAGGAGAAGCCTGAGGCCATCTCTTTGCTAGATTTTTTTTTCTCGTCCCTGAAGTGTTTTTTCCTCTGTCTCAGAGTGGGAACAGCTTAGTTAAACAATAGCTGGTCTATTTAGCAAAATTGTGGCTTCAGGAGATTGCTTTTCTTTTTTCTTTTTTTTTTTTTTCCTTTGGCAAAGACGCCAGATGCTTTTCAATGTATGAATTGTGAGATATTGAGCTCTTCTCCAAGATCACTTGAAAATCTATTTCAGGGTTCAGAGCAACAGCTATCCTAATCAATGTGTGCTGTTGTGAGCATGTTCCTGTATAAAAAGAGGCAGAGAAATTAGAAAGTGACAGATAACCAAGATAGTGGGGGAGATGTAGCAATGAAAGTGAAGTTAATAAAGGAGAAGTCCTGAAATGCACAAAATGTCATCCTGCAGCTGAAATAAATTCATTTGTGATTCCAGCTTGGCTGGAACAAGAAGCGCGTCCCTTGGATGCTCTGGCACCTATTCAGTTTGTTTTGCTTTGCTTTGCTGCGGCGTGAAATCACACTGCCATTAGTAAAAGCTCACCATTGATTTTTGATTTATTTTTATTATTAAAAACAGAAATCTGGGGCAATTTATGTTTTCTGTCAGCATCTCTTATCTCAGCAGTGTTGAGTCTCCCTTCTGCCCTATGTGCTGCCCAGCATGTCCTCCTCCCCCCCGTTTTTCTGTTTGACATCATGTTTGTTGGTTTGATCCGAGGGGCTCATTCCCATATCCTCTTCCTCAGGCTTGACACCCACTTTGATCGGTGCAGAAGCACTGTACAAGCACTTGCTTATGGTAGAAATCGCCTCCTTTTTGTTCAGAAGATGTGATTAGTGTTCTAGCAATGCTGGGGTGGCTTTCATCTCCCTGCGGAATCTCATTAGCTTTACATTACAATGGGAACAGCATATGTGCAACTTCACCAAAGTGGCCAGTCAATTTAAATTTGTTCATAAGAGTATTTTTAAGCAACTTTCTACGTCTTCGGTGCCAAGAGAAAACAACTTTGTTATTCGGGGAAAAAATACGGTTTGTTAGAAGTAGCAACGCAGCAGAAGGAGAGCGGCTGCTCATAAATATCTTCAGAACTTTCTATTCTTTGACATGTCTGGTGCTATCCTGTAAAAGCACCATCTTAAAAGGAGAAGCTCGTGTAGCTGGCGGGATTTGGGCTGCAGTCATTTCCAAACGCCGCGTGAGTTGTTTGAGCGACGTGGCTGACTTGAGTTACACCGTGCTGCTGATGCATAGTTAATCCTGTTGGGTTTTTAATGCATTGGATGGAAGCATATAAATAGCTTACATGGGTCAGGGTCATAAAATCATATCATAGAATCGTCGAATGGCCTGGGTTGAAAAGGATCTCAAAGAACATCCAGTTCCAACCCCCTGCTGTGTGCAGGTCGCCAACCAGCAGCCCAGGCTGCCCAGAGCCACATCCAGCCTGGCCTTGAATGCCTGCAGGGATGGGGCATCCACAGCCTCCTTGGGCAGCCTGTTCCAGTGCCTCACCACCCTCTGGGGGAAAAACTTCCTCCTAATATCCAACCTAAACCTCCTCTGTCTCAGTTTAAAACCATTCCTCCTTGTCCCATCACCATCCACCCTCACAAACAGCCGTTCCCCTCCTGTTTCTACGCTCCCTTCAAGCACTGGAAGGCCACTATGAGGTCTCCCTGCAGCCTTCTCTTCTCCAAACTAAACAATCCCAGTTCCCTCAACCTTTCCTCACAGCAGAGCTGCTCCAGCCCTCTGCTCATCTCAGTGCCCTCCTCTGCACCCGCTCCAAGAGCTCCACGTCCTTCCTGTGCTGGGGGCCCCAGGCTGGACGCAGCGCTGCAGATGGAGCCTTGGGAGCATTTTTGTGAGCACATCTTTTGCAGACTCACAGCCCTGAGCCACCCCTCTGCCTGCAGTGAAATTCAGAGCGCTTCATTGCGATTCGCTTTGCTGAATTAGACTAAATGCCAATTAGGAACAAATGGAGTTAGTTGGGAATAGCACTTGTAATGTCGATTCACGCTTTCTTACTCGTAATTTATTGTGCTTTCGGGCCAGGCCCTGGGAAATATATAGGTAGCACTTGAGAAGAACGCTTCATCTTCTCGATAATTACTGATGAGGCCCACAAATAGAACTAGGAGTGATAGAATGCAGGAGTGCTGCTGGGTTTGTTGTCTGAGGCCTTTAATAGCACAGCCCAAAGATTTGGGCTGAGAAGTTCTGCCCAAAGGCTGTGACGGAGCTGTTGAGGACTGCAGCCCTACTGAGCCATTGCTTCCTTCTTCTGTTATTTGAAATTATCCTTGCTATTTCAGCTCTACATGTCCTTTGTATTCTATCTCGCTCTAATTCCCAGATGGAGGATCTTGTTCTGGCTCTGTCTGGCAGATTAAAAAGCTTTCTATCAGGAACCTTTTACTAATGCACGTAGTTATAAACCATAATCATATTAATTGATTCCTGTTTTCTGAGGAAATGAGAGCTCGATTCCTATTTGTTCAACGTAAGCAACCTGAAATAAATCCATACAATTTAAATGTATAAAGTATTCACATCAGAAAAAATTGGAGAAGTATCCTCATCTTCCAGTAAAATGTAGTTTCGAATCAGAGTATTTTGTATTTTCTTTCTCCTCAATAAAACAGACCACAATCAAAGCTTTGGGGTTTTTTATTTCCTTTTTTTTTCTTTCTTTTTTTTTTTCCTCTCTCCTTTTTTTTTTTTTTTTTTTTTACACTCTTGGCCTCTGCCAGGAATCTCTAATTTAGCTACATTTTTTTTTCCTTGAAGGGATCAACACATGTTAAAGGAGCACATTTTCTATTTAAAAATGACCAGAGTCAAAATGGGGACATCTAAAGAGAAAATCAGAGTGTTTTCCTCTGGCGTGGTTTGTTCAGTAACTTTGCTTCTTTATGATTTCACAGAATGTGTGGGATTTCAATCACAGAGGCATAGGCTCTGCTCTTCTGCTGCAGGCATTGCAAGTTAGATGAATTGCTTGATACGTAGGCTTTTATTTTAGTGTAATGCTTTTTATTGTATTTTATTTTTGAGAAATTTCCATCCTTTTAACAGTGATGGAAGCAGCCTCATTGGCCCCTTCTGTCCTTCAGGTGCCTTGCAGGGCTGGGTCCTTCTGGTGTTGTTCCACGTAGCGTTGAGCTGGCCGCCTTCCTGCATCACTTTGCTCACACTGGCCACCATTTACATTATTTTACATTATTAGCTTCTGCCACACGTTTGAATTTGCTAAGATGTGTTGATCTCACTCTGTGCATAGGAAGTCAGTCTTCATGATTGCTGTAGCTGATTGTTGTATGAAGGCTGACAGTGGGAATGGAAGGCAGCTGGGAAAAGCTACCCAAAACTTCTTGGAGAGCGTCTTAGCAGTGACGCGGCCTTTGGTTTGCCACTTTCCTGTGGAATTTATTTTCTTTTTCTTCGAAGAAAGATGTCTGAGGTGTGGAATGAATGAGAGAATGTTCTCCTTCTGTCTGGCACAGGTGACGGATCACGCAACCACTGCCCTGCTGCACTACCAGCTGCCTCAGATGCCTGACGTGGTAGTCAGATCTTTCATGGTAAGTAAATTTGAAGATAACTCACTGCCTCCAGACAGATTTGAGCATGCTGACAGCAAATGGCACGAGGCAGTTGTGATGCAGTTGTAACTTCACCTGTTTAACCAAGCTAGACAGCAGAGATCAACTGTAATTCTTTGTATCGTATCTGGGTAAGGATGAAAAATCTTCTCAGTACTGTGGGATAGCTGATGTTTGAGGGCTGTGCTGTGCAGAGGTGCTCTATCAGAAGCCACAGCATTTGCTTGGTGATGCCAGTTTGCAAAGCTAGTCTGGGTCATCTCTAAAGACAGCAGGAAAAAGCTGCCCCACGCTCTTTGTTACTGTCCAGCCCATTCACACTGTGCTCACTGTGCAGAGTTGGTTTCTGGACATAAAGTCAGCTCCAGTGAAATTAGCTGTGAGTGTATTCCAGCTTGCTCATCAGTGTGCCCAGCACAGCAGGGAATGAGGGTCAGTGATGTGAGTGAAGAGCTTTGGAGGCAGGAATGTCATCAGGAAGAATCCTTGGTCCTTTTGGCCCAAACCTGGATCCTGATGGGCTGTGGGTGGATGATCAGTGCAGCAGCAGGTGATTTCAGGGCAGAGGAAATGCTTGCTGGGATATCCCAGTGTTATTGAATACAATTGATAAAATACTGCTCTAACTTCATGTAGATTTAAGTTTATCACCTTTAATTCTGCTCGAATTTAGTATTTTCTTTGTGAAATACATTTGGATGCAAGCAGCCCTGGTAGTCACAAGGGTTTATGATTCAGAACACCTTCCACGAAGATGAATTTTGGCAATGAACGTGGTTGCTGTTCTCCTGCTGCAATCTCCCAAAGGAGATTTTGGGGAGGGATTTTCTCTGCTCTTCAGGCTTTTTAGTCCATCTATTACATTACCCCTTCACTCGGAGCAATGTAATTCAGACTTTGTAGAATCCACCATCTAATTTTGCCACTGGCAATCTGTGGGTGTGTAAGATAGCATTGGTTCTTTTATGTCTTTCTTTTCCAATATGTAATTTCAGGTCAGACTCGCTTACCTGCTGTGCTTGTTTCTTTGTTTATTCAATAAAAAGGCCGCTAAGAGGAGAGCTGTGCACGTGAGCATGGCTTTCAGAGGGTGAAGGCAGCTCTTCCAGGTCCAATCCATGTCTCAACACGTGTCTGAAAATGAATGTTTAATAGAAGTGGGGAGCACGCCTGTGTGAGCCGTGGGCCTGCCGTATCGATCGGACAGAACGCTGCTAAAAATGTGGACGAAGCAAAAACAGATGTACAACACAAGTGTCAGTGCGTTCGTCCCTTCACATGTCAGTTGTGCAATCCACATGACAGGGTGCACAGGAGGCCCAGCTTTCTGATGGCAGCAGAGAACTTGTTCTGTTCCCTTTCCACAGATGTCTCAAGTGCCCGATTTAACTTATTTACTGTTTTTGTGTTATGGTTCAGAAAATTCGATTTCTCTGTTGTGCAAGCAGGGTCCATCTGAGCTGAAGTAAATAACAGCAATTTACTTGTAGTGTTCTGCTACCCTTGTCCCTGCACTTAGTGCTAAGCCCATGGAGGGGTTCTTTGGAGGAGAGCTATTGATGGCCAAAGGTTTGGTTGCTGTAGAGAAAGCTCTGATGAAGGTGGAAGGATTTGTTTCAATAAACTCCTCTGACCTCTTCTTCAGAGAACAATTTTCTCTTATCGATGTAATTCAATAGGACTTTAAATGACAAGATTCATGCGTGGCCCTCGCAGCATAAATCTGCTGCTCTGGGTATTTTTCAGCTGTGTATATCCTTGAGTTTGGAATTGAGTTATGCAATGCTCATTGCAGTGTATGACGATGGGAGGAAGCGCTTGTGAGGCAAGAACTGCACCTAGAGCACCTGTTCTTACTGCTTGTAGTTCAGCACTTGCCTTTGTATTTATAAATACATCCCTGATTATAGATATATATCATTGTAATCAGATTTAAAATCTTCCAGTATTTTTATGACCAGTGAGTATTGATCTTAAAATCACATTAGGGAGGAAGTCATTTTGCTGTGAAAGTGCTTATATCTTCAGCTACTAAAAGTTCAGAGTGTTGCAGTGTGTGTGCAGTGGGGCTGAGATGGATGTTCATAGGAAGAGATGCACTGATTTGCAACTGAAGAAGGCACCCATCAGGAACAACTAAATTCCAGGAAAAATATGAGGAGCATTGGAACATTTGCCTTCTGCAGAGATTGTCCTGCTGCAAAAACCTCCAGCTCAGAGTGCGTGAATTGCCATTAACAAATTGGCTTAAGTGACTGAAAAAGCAGAATATTCTTAATAAAGTGGGAATTCAGCTATGTATGACCTTCCGATCTTCTGCACATTCTGTTTATAAAAGCACTGTGTACCTCTGGGGCCTCGCCAAAGTACATCCCCTGTCCTTGGGATCACTGCTTGACAAGAATGATGACATAAGGGAATGTCCAGATCCACGTTTCTTAATGTTTCTCCCTTTCTCTCTTAGACCTGGTTAAGAAGTTACATAAAGCTGTTCCAGGCTCCGTGCCAGCGCTGCGGAAAGTTTCTGCAGGATGGCCTGCCGCCCACCTGGAGGGATTTCCGGACACTTGAAGCTTTCCATGACACTTGCAGGCAGTAGCAGCACAGCCCAGCAGGTGATGTGTGTGGAGTGAGCAGCGCTGGGCTGCGAGGAGAGCTGCTGGCTTCACTGCTGGCTTCACTGCTGGCTTCACTGCTGGCTCTGCTTCTGACCCATCCGTTCTGCACTAAGCAGTGAGGTTGCACTAATGCAGTTTG